TAGTCCAAAAACCCCAAAAGAAACAATGGCGGGGGTTTTTTTTTTTTTTTTTTTGAGAAGTTTTTGCTACAGGGTGTGTGTACTCACCAGACAGATAGAGAGAGACAGAGAGACAGAAAGCGAGAAATCACCCTCCAGGGGGGATGGCCACGCCGCAATCCCTTCTCCTCTATTCTCCTCTCAGGATCTTGGGCACGCATGCACCTGCGCCTGCATGAGTTTTAAGCCACCGGGGTCCAGGACGTGAACCGCAGTCAACTACATGGGAGTCCAGCGACATAGCCATTACGCTAACTGCTGGTCCCAGTGGATTCTTAAAGAATAGGAAAAATACTTGAAAGAGAATGTCTTTTATTTACCATGGTAACAGTAGTATTTTATAAGGTAGCCATCTGTGCTATGTGCCCAGCTATGTGTAATGGCCACATATTTTATAGATATGTTTATGAAGAAACAAACAAACTGATAGAACCTTTAAAAAAATTCATAAGACCACTGCTCAAATCTCATCTCACTTTATTTTTCTTTATTATACTACTGACAACTTTAAATATGTTGGAAACTCATTATACTAAATTATGCGCATAGTATCAGTTCTTCAAGAAAAGGTTAATCTGTGTTGATTATACCTTGGTTTATAGAAATTGAAAAGTAGACAATATACATTTATAAAGTGTTCTAACAGGTTTGTTTTATTTTGGTCATAAAAAATTAATAAGTCAATACATGGTTTGTGTTAAAAAAATTGTAACTTAATTGCCAAGGCAATGGTATTAAAAGGTGGGACCTTTGGGAGGTGATTCGGTCATGAGGGCTCCACCCTCATGAATGGGCTCAGTTCCCTGATAAAAGAGGTTTCAGAGGGCCACGTCTGTGGCCTGGTGGTTAAGGCAACCAGATCCCACATGGCTGACCCCACAGTTCAAACCTTGAGAAACAAGCGTAGTGCATGAGTGTGTGCCTAAAATCCCAAAAGGAGGGAGAAATAGAGGATAAGAGATTGAGAAATGACCATTCCCCATAAGTGTGTCATCTCCTTTCCCTTTTTCTCCATCTCTCTCTAGTGAGCATATATACCCTCTGGCAAAAATTTAGGAAAAATGAAAAGAAAGCTTCTTCCCTTCTGCTACCTGAAGACACCTAGATATCACCATCTATGAGAAATAGTCCCCCACCAGACACCGAATCCGCTGGTGCCTTGATGTTGGACTTCTTAGCTCTAGAACTGGGAGAAATTTCTATTATTTATAAATTACTCAATCTATGGTGTTTTTGTATAGCAGCTTAAACAGATTAAATTATTGACAGATCTTAGAATTCTCTGAAAAAGATTTTGAAGCAGCCATGTTGAAAATGTTCCAGGGGGCACTTAACAAACATGAAATAAATGAAAAAAATAGAAAGTTTCAACAAAAAGAATCTCAGAAAAATAGGACATATGAAGAGCCAAATGAGAATTTTAGAACTGAAAAATACAACTGACATAAAAAGCTCAGCAAATTGGCTCAACAACAGAATGGAGAAGACAGAGGAAAGAATCAGTGACCTGGAAGATAGAACTGTGTATTTATTTATCTGGATAACAGTGACAAAATAGACA